CACGCGTTTTGGCTCCCAAGAGGGTACTTTAACACACGTTTTGGTTCCCAAGAGGGCACTTTAGCACAAATTCTTATGCTTGCCTCTTTTTCCTGTTTCTAACTCATCAACCTTGAGGGCAAAATGTTCAGTTGCTGTCTAATATACCCCACCCACTGACAGGTGCCATGATAACCAGATAATCAGTGTTATTCACTTCACTTGTTAGTGGTCATAATGTTATGGCTGATCTGTGTATATCTGTTATAATTCTTCTTGACCTTAGCGCTGTCTTCGACACTACTGACCAAAATGTTTTACTTACGCCTTGAGGAATGGGTTACTCTCTCGTACAGTTCTAAACTGGTTTTAAATATCTATAAGTAGAATCAAATTCCATGTCATAGGAGCTCTACATGCTGTCACTGGGATCCATAATCCATAAGCATGGCATAAACCTCCACAGGTATGCTGATGATGTGTCTGTGAGGCCAGATGACCCAAATAATCTGTCTAAATCTAAATGACTGTGTTAGCCATTAAAGATTGGATGAGCAAGAACTTCCTAAAGCTAAATGGAATATATGACTGAGATGCTCCTAGTTGGCCCCCCAAAAAATTAGAAATTGTAGCTGTTTGTTTAAAACTGTCCAAAGAAACTGTGTTGATGCTATTTTATCAATCATTTTTACCATTCCTCCTTGTGCATGTGTATGGTGCTGCTGATTTTGCTGCTGAATTGTAATGCATAGCTGCATATTGTGCATGAAAAGTGCTATCAATATAAATCATTAATCAAATTATCCAGAGCCAAACCAACAATGAATGTATCTACTAATAGACTGTATGTGTATCAAAGCCTGATATATCTTCTTCCTCTGAGCTCCACTGTTGTCCAAAACTATTAAACACATCAGTGATCCACACTATTACAACTGACTGACATGTTCCTTCACTACCATTATTATCAATATATTTATTTACTATAAAAAAACAACAAATGAAATAATAATTCCTCATCGGTCACGCTGTCTATTTACAATGTAGCTCAGATTATCTGACCAGTTACTGTTACTAGTGAATGAAGCACAGTCAATTCTCTGCATGTTTGTTTTTCTTCTCCTGCCTGACTCAAGCTGACCCTGACACAGTAAATATACAATATATTCAATCTAGACAACCCAACATCATGCTGCATCAAGGTGGGGATGAGTGCACATGTGCAATATAAACAAGGGAGAAATAATGTAAAACTGAACCATTGAACCAGTTCACTGCTGATAAGCGTCAGTCAGCTTTTTCTGCTGTCTACCAGCAGCCCTGCTGAGGTTGGAGCAGCCATTAAAAAGAAAACAGTCCACATAAGGTACTTAGGAGGAAGGGGCTCAATGGAGTCATTGACAATTACTGCCAAATACAAATGATTTCCCACCATGCCAATTATAGTGCTGAGAGAGTCTCCTGAAAATCCCTCTGGGCCGCTGTTGCCCTCATCTATGAAGACAAATCTCCTCTACATAGGCTGGAAATGCACAGCCAAGCTATTTCATTTTCTCCATTGGAGATTCAACTTCTTGTCTGGGGTCCAGGGCTCATTAAAGTGTAAATCCTTAATCTATCCTAAAAAAACAGCTGCAGGATAAATAATTTAGAGAAACTGTAAAGTGAATCAAAACCCAACGATCAGTCAAGATGGCATTCTCCTCCCTGCAGTTATTTGGTGTTATCGAAGTCCCGCCCATGCACCCAGCCGACTCAATGGCAAGTAGGCTGCTATTTTTGTAGACTGACATCGGCATATTGGTAAATATGACAGCATTCACTGATATTAGTATTAGAATTTTACGCAGACTAAATATCCTTGGTTAGACACACACCAGACACACACATGCAGTGCTCTCGCTGTCTCTCTTTCACTGTTGTGTGTTATATGAACCTGTAACATCTCTTTTTCCTCTGAGCATTCCCCTGCAGCTGTCCCTCAGACTCAGGCTACCATCATGTTCACCTTATCTGTCATTATTTTAAGTCCTCTGTTTCTTCAACTGATTGTCCAGAATCACAAAAATATTAAACACATTTCAAATGAAATTTGCTTAGTTCTCACTGAGAAGCTATTTATCCTTGTTTCAGTGGTTGTTGAAGTGACCCAAAACTTTTTCAAAAACTTTTTCAAATTGATTTCAAAACTTTGAGTTTGACTTAAAAAAATAAATTAAAAAAATAAAATTAAAATTAAATAAAAAATGTAGTGACTAGAAAACTGCTGAGTTTTCTTAAATTTCTTTTTCACAGTGTAGCACCAAGTTCTTGAGCTAAGCCTCACAGTTGCTGTCTTTACCTACAGTTTAATACTGCTGCAACCATTTAGAACTAAAGACATGTACATCAAGCTATAGTGTCCATATTGTAAATGTTAATCTGCACCTTCTAGCCAATCAGAATCCAGAATTCTCAGTGGCCTTATAGTATTAGATTATACTCTGTGTGCAAATATGACACTTTGTTTGGAAGGTAACATCATAGGAAAAAAGCATCCAAAATGAAAGAGTATCTTCTGTGAGCATGGATGTGCTTGTGTTTATTTCACTGCCTGAGGCTGGCACTAAACAAAAGGTCAGGGATCAGTGATTAGGAATCATCCACACTAAAGTACTATGTTGACACACATGCATAATGTATAATAAATAAATGGAGAAAGGTGTGTTATGCATGAAACAAACAGACATCTTCTTACCCTGTAATAATCTGTGCTGTAAATGTCTCTGGACATGCCAAAGTCTCCTATTTTCACCAGCAGGCCATTCCCCACTAGGCAGTTCCTGGTTGCCAGATCACGGTGCACAAAGTGTTGAGACGCCAAGTAGATCATCCCGGCTGCAATCTGACTGGCTATGTGAAGCATCTGGGACAGACCCAGCTCCCCATTGGTCTGCAGAGGCTGTCCATCCACCAGGATCATGGCATCTGGCCCGTGGGCTCTGAGGAGGAAGTTAGAGAGCCAGTTAGAAGCTCATGAAACATCTCAGATCAAAGAGAATGTACTGACATCAATCAGTGTAATGTAGCTTGAGCCCTACTCTGCCCCCGATTGGCTAGTGTTTGTTGGTTTACTCGGTTAGGTTTAGGCCTGAAACTGATTACCAGTGAGCCGTACATGAGTCTACATGAGTACCCTTACCTCACGTGCCATCGAAACACATGCAGACCACAACATGAAAATTTCACGTAAATCAGATCAAAATTGCCATGCAGCGCTTACTTCCTGTTGCCAGTAGGTGGTGCTCTCACTATATCTGAATATGATCACATTGAAATGTTCAGGGCGGGACTCTTATCAGACAAGTAAAGTTTGGAGTCAAATGGACTATGTACACTCAAGTTATAGCAACTTCGTGTGTTCTGGCGGTACATCAAAATTTGACACCACGCCACGGACACGCCCTTTGACAAAAAGTCACCACAATCATGAAGTATCATCCTGTTAGGAATAGAACATGGAAGTATAAAAAATGACATTTCCTTTCACCACTAGGTGGCGCTCTCACTATTACTGAATATTATCACATAGACGTGTTCAGGGCAGGACTCTTATCAAACATGTGAAGTTTCATTGAGATCGGATCATGTACGCAGAAGTTATGACAAATCCCTCTTTCATGGCAAGTCGTTGAAATTCCACGCCATGCCATGGGCCCACAGGAGTACATGGTCAGTCAATGCCAACATAAGTGTGTTAGAAGGTAAAGTTGAAGCCTTTTGTTTACCCTGATTGATTACTAATCTCTAGTCATGTTCAAGGTTTCATGTGCTGACAGTTGCCTCCAAAGTAGGAAATCAAATGCTGGTGGCACGTTTAAAAAAAAAAAGATTTCGTTTGAAAAGGCGTTTCTGAACATGACAAACGCAGATGCTTTCAAACAGCATACAAAGGGTCATTGAATGGTTTGCTGTGTGTGTGTGTGTGTGTGTGGGCAATGTTGTACATCAGCAGTGTGTCCTTGTCGATAAGTCAGCTGGACTACATTACTAGTATTCAGGATGTTGATGTTGGTTGATTTAAATCCCCCATGACAAACTGTCTTACTGGTTCAGTGGCTTTGCATTCATTCACAAAATGTCCACTATTTCAGTGTTTATTTAAAGTGGGAGCTGTGGAATGGGAGAAACAAAATGGGAATATCCCTGTACTATGTGATGATTAGTCAAAAGGTAACTGACAGTGTTCACATTATGTTCAAATAGTGTGCTGTTTTAGAGTTAGAGAGAGAGAAAGAGAGAGAGAGAGAGAGAGAGGGGTTAAACACAATAAAGTCAACTTGGTGGTCAACCTGTGTGTCTATGTGTGTCGGTTGGGGGAAGGGCTTTTCAGCTTCACTGACTTTAAGTCCCCAATGGAGGAAGTGATGCCAGTAAAGTGCCAGCTCAGTGTGTGTGTGTGTGTGTGAGGGCAATGGGTGCCAGCTAAATTAGCAGTATGTCCTGGAAGAATTGATGGCAGCACTTTAATGGAAACACAATTACTGAGCTGAAATTAGCATCCGAGGCACAGAGAGACTCACTGAAACATTGTCCCATACAAGCATGCACACACACACAAACACACACACACACACACACTCAGAGTCATACATAAGCACTGGCAGACTTCACTTCCTGGCGGCGGACTAAGTACCAATGTTCTATTCTGCAGGGCAAAGCATCCTGGGAGCAAATAACATCTAATCACAGCAGACATAATGCAGCTCATTAGCTTACCAACCGCAATTTACAATTTAGGCATTTAGCTTGTGCTCTCATCCAGAGCAGCTCGCACTGAGTGAGCAGGTAGTGCTGCAGAGTCTGAGTCAGCTTAGGACCTTCTCTTCAACAGATATGTGAGGTAAGGACCTCAGAAAGAAAAAAAGTCTCCTGTAATGGCTCCCAAATTTACACCTCATATATTGTCAAGTGGTTGTATGTTCATTCATGCGTTCTTTATATTTGGGAATTGGTTTTCAAGCATTATTTCAGCCCTGTGCATTCACTAGTGGGCACTTAATTGAAGAGAGTAATCCATTATATATTCTATTGCAATTAAAGTCATGCTTTCAGCAACTATTCACTGCTGTTTCAATATTACAGCATGTAATAGATTTGCGAAGAGCCACTGTGAAACTCAGTGTGTTTGGCTCTGGCTGTCACCATATTGGCTGTCCTGGCTGTCACCATATTGGCTGTCCTGACTGCCGCCCAGCTAATACAGAAAGTAACATAGAGGTGGAGCACGGATGGAGCTGAGGCAGGCACAATGAAGCCTGCTTGCTGAAAACAGCTACCTGTGACGGCACTCAAAGCAGCCACACCCTTAATTATGTATAACTTTAAGCCTTAATATAATTTAAACTGGTGAGTTATATAAAAATTCACCCCCTGTACAGTTGTCATGAACAGGAAAACTAGGTATAGAGACCAAAAGTGTTTTCTGTACAAGGCTATAAACATGTTTATTTCTGCAGTAAAGTTGGGCATTTTAATATGGGACCTTAAGGAGACTCACTTCTGGAGCCAGCCTCAAGTGGCCGTTAGAGGAACTGCAGTTTTTGGCACTTCGTACTACAGCCGCTTGGTC